AAAAAAAAAAAAAAAAAAAAAAAAAAGAAAATCCAAAACCAGTCACCCTGAAACCTACCAGACGTCATGTGCATGTAACGTAATTATCTTTAACTTTCTAAGGGTTAAAGGCAAACTTTGACTGGCCATTCTTCTGCCCGGCATCATCGCCACCAAAACCCGGAGGAAGGCTCGTATTTCCAAAGGCAGACGAATTTACCGGCAACTGTTCGGCCCCACCTTGCTGCCTGGAAGATCCGCAGCTGGGGGAAGTTTCGTCATTTCGAAAAATGTCGGGCAAACTGGATTTAGTCTCTGTTGGTCCAAAGATTCCATCCAACAAATTATTGTTACTATTGTTATTGTAAGGTACACTGAGATTCTTGTTGAAGCAGCCCGGGAATGCAGCCAATGTGTCATCGATCGAGATCTCACCCCTTAGAGTCTTGAGCGCAAATTCCAACGGGTCGGACCAAGAATCGCCAAAATCCAAAAAAAGCTGTGATTCTTGCTTGCTATTATTATTATTATTATTATTCTCTTCAGCCTTGGCCTCGATTTTCGCTTCTGGAATAACCGGGGCATCGTTCAGAGGATTTTCGGTGGTCCCATTTGGAGGATTTTCGGTTTCTTTTGGAGTTTCAGACGATGGAGGAATATTATTAGCAGGGGTATTTTGGGAATTATTATTAGCTTCTTCAGTGGCTGAGGCATAATTGTGTGGCGGCGCTTTGGGTTCAGTGCCAGCGAGCCTCTTTGAGGCCCGTGAAGGAAAGATTGGATCTTTTCTTTTCCTGGGGTTTTTCGAGTTTGACCGAGGTTTTTTCTCGGTTTGTTTTTTTTCCGTCCCCGCGGATTTGGGAGTCTGCTGCTCGGGTTTGTCTTCAGGAGCTGATTTATTTTCCGGGTCGGGTAATGAGTTATTGTACGTAATTTTCTCTTCTGAATTTGCTGGGTACATTATTACATTGGCTGAGAAAAAGAACCAGAAAAAAAAAATGTTAAAGGATATATTATTCATTGGCTAACATAACTGTAAATATAGTTGGAGTAAAATAATGCCATTCTTACATCCGTCCGATTCTCCACCGGCAAAACGTCGTTGGGGGCGTTCTAGTAATTTCTCGTGAGCAGCACTTGAAGACTACAAACAAAAATATAAACATTTCAAATATAACACATCACCTTTTATTATCTTCAAATGAAGTAATATGTACTTGACAATTTCCCCAGCAAATGTTTTAATGCAGAAATGTTAGAAACGCAAATTATCATCATGGCAAACTAAGCTGCTTTACTCACCTGGACTTCATTCTTGACCAGATTCAGCTCAGTCGACTCCTTTTTTCTTGGCCTGATAGCACAGTAACGAATATCATTGGTATTAATGAACCGCATGGCATCTGGTTTAGAACGAAACATGTAGCCACTGATCGGGTCAATATAGTACTGCAGAAATTCAACAACCTTTCAGGGTATATTCCACAAATCACCAAAATTTATTGAAAAAAAAAAAAAGATTAATTACCGGATCCTTTCTAATTTTACTCCCACATTTACTTGTTATGATTTCTTTTATCCAGCCTGAAGGCAGGTCATCAGCTGCAGAGCTTTCAGAGGCAATCTAAAAGAAAATTCGAAATCACGAGTTAAATCGTGTGATTTTTACCAGACTTATAGTTAGTTTTTGCAAATCGTAGGAAGGACAAACCGGTATGAAAGAGCTGGCTTTCTTTTTCTTTCCATGAGAGCTACCAGGATTTGTCATGCACAGGCTTTGTGGAGAAATGAGTGGAGATTGTTCATCCTCTTTGTCACGCTGTACAAAAGGAAAAATAAAAATAAAAAGTAAAACACGAGAATTTCAAACATCATCATCATCAACATCACCAAACCCAGTATATTCCCAACAGGTTGGGGTCTGGGGGGTCAGTTGTACGCTGACCTTACCCTTGTAATTATACAAGGAGGTTGTTTCCATAGCGACCCAAGGTGCGTTGCGTCGTTTGATATATTTTTTTTCTAGAAACTTCACTAATATAAGAAGCACTTTTGAACGCATCAAAGTACATACCGTCTTAGAAGGGCTCTCTTCTTTTCCTTCTTGAATGACACTTGTGTTTGTGATGGATAGGCCATTTGTAGATGATTCGTCCAGTTTACTAGTCTGAAAAAACAACAGTTAAAAAAAAGTTCAACAAAGGATAGCAAAATATAAGATACTTTAGATGATCGAGTTTTGAGCCCATCAAAGAAGAAACCATTCTGTTGCCTTCCTCCTTTTTCTCTTCGTGAATCTCGTCTGTATTTGTCATGGACATGCATGGTTGAGACATGCTTGCAGATATAGTATCAGCATTGTCACTCTGAAAAACGTAGATCAAAATCATAATAATAATAATAATAATAATAATAATAATAATAATAATAATAATAATAATAATAATAATAATAATAATAATAATAATAATAATAATAATAAACTTCAACAGAGCAACTTTTATATACAACAAAAATTTGATGGAAGCATGAAGGTTAAAAGGTTATAGAATGAAACTTGAGGTTCAGAATAAGTCATCCACTAATTTCACAAACAATTAGAGAAACGGTCAGATGGATATCAAAACTCATTTCTTTGCATATAACATCTTTGTTTGACTCAAAGAAATATATATATATATAAAAAAAAAAAAGAAGAGAAAATGAAAGAATAAAAGAAAATTGATGATTTAAAATATTAGAAACACAATGCGTACTTTAGTTTGTGTGGTCATGGTGACGGCACGATTTTGGGAATTCAAGTATCGAGTGACGGCTACCATCGAATAAAATATGTTTCCAGATGACACATGAGTATATACCTGCAAAAAAGATGGAAAAGCACACGAACTCAATAAGAAACCCAAAGGGTATCTTCAACTGCAAGTATGACAAACATATTTTCAATATGGTGGATTTAAGTTTGAGAAATTTCGTAGGAACTATGAATTCCACATAGCACGATATCTTTCACTTCTCTATAAAAGAAAAATGTGGAATATGTAAAGATGAAAGTTGATAGCAAACGAAAAGATTATTATTATTTTGTTTAATACATTACAAACCTTGTACACAGATCCTTTGCGTGGACCTCTTTGTCGTTTTTTCTCCTCCATTTTCCATCCATCAGGCAACCATTTTGGCGAGTCATCTGTTGTATCTAACCCCTGTGGACAGAACAATACAATCAAATATAAATGAAAAGGAACATGCATGCAGCAGAGTACATAAAATAAAACCTTTAGTCTGAAAACTCACAGCTTCAACTTCGCCATTAGAGGAGATGTCTTTTTCTGCATTTGATATTGGACTTTGAGGCGCATCAATGATCCCATTTTCGGCTGTACCACAACTTAATACATCTTTCTTGGAATAATATTTTGTGTCTGTTGCATCATTGTAGTAGTACTGCAATTTCAGATAAACACAATATGCAGGCGTGTTATTTGATATACGATTTATTATCTTTGACAAGTTTAATTGCTCTTTTTGACATTTTACCAAGAGACAAAAGAGATTCACCCACAAAGGAACCGTAGTTTAAGGCTATGTTTGGTAGCCAAATAAGCTAGCTTATAGCTTATTTGGTTAGCTTATAAGTTTCCTATATTCAAATAAGCCTCAATTGGTAGGACGAGCTTTTCTATAAATCTCGAGCTTATCTTTTAAGCTTCTTTGGATAGCTTTTCAAATAAGCTCGTTGAAATTTTTATTTCAGCTAGCTTATCAACTAATTTTACTGAACACTTACATCATATAAACTAGTTTTTCAGCTATAACTCATAAGCTATAAGCTCGAAAAATCACATGTAAGCTATAAGTTAGCTTATTAGCTAGTTGTACCAAACATAGCGTAACTATGATTATTTTCTTTTCACTATATCGTTTATCAAATAGTTTTACATTTTCTCATCTTTCACCTGCTTAACCAAAACATGAAGCTAAGCAATCAAATAGCAACCAGTAACGGTCGTTTATTTTTGTGAAGAAACCGTCCACATACAACACCCGCAGCTGCCATTTTTCTAAAAATAAATGTCCTTAACCGTATTGCTTTCTATACCTATATAGAATATTATTAATAGCCTAGGTAGCTTAATCTCCAAACACATGTAATACATTCAACTCAAGTATCACTACATGATTAAACACGTCGGCTGCATTAAATGTAACTAAGTGAAGCGTTAATGAGTAATTTGTTAAAACATGTAACATAATCTCTATATTTTGAAATGAATTCTAGGTAAACTCAGAGGAGACAACCCTATCACTTTCACTTCCTTAAACGAATCCTAGGCCGTTAGGGTTCTTACCATGATCGTACATTACTATAAATAACAACCCGTTAGGCATACATCAGAAGAAATAAGAAGCTTCTACACATTTATCAAGCTCAAAACCTTGCAACTAACCCCAACATCAACAGCCATCGATCTAGTTACTAAGCATACTCAAAAAATACAGGCTACAAGGTAAAATCAAAACCAATCTTGTTCTTCATTTTCAACATGCAGCCACTTAACAAGCTAATTCAAACACACGAATACTTGAACAACTCGAAGGAAAGCGCTAAATTCACCACTTTCATTCAGTTAAAACATAAGAACCCAAGATCTAACGCAGTTCTTACTCATTCAACCTGCCCAGCAATTTTCACCAACAATAAAATCAAAAGCAACAAGCTTTAACCAAAATTGCCAAAACAAAAGGCAAAAAAAAAAAAAAAAAGGAACTGATTACCTTAATCTTCTTCCCATTCTTGTACTTCACCTTCTCAGTAAAACCCGGAGGAAGCCACTCCGGCGACTCCCCGGCAACCATTTTCCCCTGAAAATCCTTAAAAAAAAATAAAAAAAAAAAAAAATCAAAACCTTTCTTGAATTATTAACAAACAAAGTCCTGAATAAGCTCCATCGATTTACTCAGAATTAGGTCAAGACTAGAGCTTCTTATTAAAGAACACGAATGGGGTTGAAAAAATATAAGGGGGGCGGTGGTGGGGTCTTACAGAAAACGGAAAAGGAGCGATTTTTACAACACGCGGTGGTGTGCCGACTGCCGAGCGGCAAGGATTTTCTTCTCTCAAACTAAAGACTTGAGCTTTTTTCTCCCCATTTTATAGATTCTTTCTGCAAGTGGGGGGGACTGTAAAGAAATTTTGGTGGTGGGTTTTGAAAATCGAAAGGAAAAAAAGGGGAATGTAATAAAATGCAGGGAGATTTTCTTGCTCCGATGCAGATAATTTGCAGGCTCTTATTACAAATTATTATTAAAAGTTTCAGAACTTGATTTTCTGCACTGTTTTTTCGAGTTTTTTGCTACTTTTGTCATCGGTAAAAACCAGAAAAAGTAAAAGCTACAGTGCGCCTTATTAGATTCATTCAATTAAAGTCAATTTCTCTCTCTCTCTCTCTCTCTCTCTCTCTCTCTCTCTCTCTCTCTCTCTCTCTCTCTCTCTGTGTCTTTTTTTCTATTTTGGCTTGTCTTATTTCCATTGTAGGCTTTTTAGGATAAGAGAAAACTGTTGAAGATTGATAATGTGGCATATTGGTACGAGTAATGCTACAATTACGTAAGAGTGCAGTGTACATAATACTCATATTGAGTGAATCCACTAAAAATATAAAATCAAGTAGACGATATTCATGTGAGTGTTATGTATACCTTTATGTACATCTATTATGTACATGTAGTGTTTTCTTATTGGTATATATATATATAATTTTCATACTTTCATTTCATAATCGTTTTGAATGTTAAGTATATCCCATTGCTGAGTTTAAGTGGCAGTCTCGCACGCTTTGAAATCTTAATTGGCTAAAAAATATGTTTTGTAGTTTGGTTTGAATAAAGAATAATATTATTCTAAATAATAATTACAGGTTCGGACATTTCAAAAATATTGAAAAACTAACTTGGTAATTCTATAATAATTTGACTAATATATTTCTTATGTTGTATTGGAACCTTTGGTAATTATACTAATTGACTAATATAATCTTGAGTTATTTTGAAAGCTCTCAATCGGTTCATTAATTTTCATTAAAAACCTCAAATTAGCCTAAAAAATATATATGTTTAATTTTAAACAATCATTGTTATTATTATTTAATTTTAAAAATAATTTTTTTAACAATTACCCGTGTAGTACACGGGTACTTATTGTACTAGTTTTGATTAAAAAAAATCACAATATAAGAAATCGCATAATATAATTATAGCATTCGAAAGCAAATAATATTTGTTTTTGTTTATATAATAATATAACGAGTGGCTATCAGATTCGCTTAGATAAGAATTTGTGAAAAATTAAAGCGTCATTTTCATTTAAGGTCAACAACAAATCACAAAGCAAAAATATGTCTTAAAAAAGATTAGAGATTTATTTAGTAAATCTTGTTCCATATAAATGTAATTGTATATTATCAATCAGAATTATCCTTTTAAAAACAAAAAAATGCAAAAAATGCAAAAAATGCTATTTTTATATAATGTAATTATTTGGATTTATGATATCCACAATTTTGCAAGATTTTAAATGAAAAATGTAATTAATATAATTTCAATTTCATCAAAAGGTTATGTAAATTCTATGAAAAGAACAAATTTGATTACGGTAATTAAAATTGAGATAGTTGTTTACTAATTTAGTACTTATTACTAGTACAACGCCTGTGTATTACACGGGTGCTTACTAATTTTCTATTAAAATCTAAAATTAATGAGAAAAAGTAATTGAAAATTTCAATACCTTTTATAAAAATATATATATTATTGTACATTTAGTATGATACTTTTTTTATTTGTGCGACTTACATGTGTTATATTATAATATTTTTTTGACTTACAACAAATAACTACATTAAACATAAATATATCAATTGAGAAATAATTTTATTTTTCTAATGAATCTTAATAAATATTATTATTTTTTATTATTATAAAGATAAATATGATTTATTTATTTTATATATTCAATATGGATGTCAAATCGAAGACCATCACTAGATAAATAATTTGATATATTATATATGTAAAACCGATAAAAAATACAAAAGTTATCAACTTTTAAAATACATTTACAATTTAAATAGCTAATTGAAGGAAACAAACCAAAAGTCAGATATATATTAGTCACTTAGTGTCTCACTATGTAAAATTACAAAGAATTAAAGGGTTATATTAGTAAAAGTTATATTAAAATACCTAAGTTAGCTAAATAATATTTATGGAATGTCCGAACCTAGATTATTAATTATTAATATATCAATATTATTTGTCCAAACCTAATTACGAAGCATATTCTTTGCCAAGTAAAATTTCGAAGCACCAGAAACAATTATGTAGACTCAGCGCATTCAGGAATAATATATAGGGAGAATTTTGGACGCTTTTGTAAAATGTGCATGTTTTTTCTTATTCTACATAAATAAATAAATATATATATATAAATAATATGTATTTGCTGAAAATATTATAATTTTCCCATAACAAAATAATTACTTACATAAGGAAATTTGTAAGCATTTTGTTTACTTGTTTATTTTTATTTTCTTCAAATAATTATTTCTTTCTCATATGTGATGTCAATAATTCATCTAAATATATGGTTAAACTTTGTATTTTTTTAATCGCAAACATTAACTATATCTTATCTATTTTTATTGTTTGCGATGTGATTTCAATAATTTGATATTTTTCTCTACAAATTTTTTAATTCAATATTCTATTTCTACCTAATATAGAATTTGATTTCATTAGAAAAATATAATATCAATAATTTGATATTAAACTCTACAAAATTTTTAATTCAATATTTTATCTCTACCAAATACAAAATTTTATTTCATTACAAAACTATAAATTAACGTTATAGATTAATCTCTCCAATTATAATTACTTATAAATTAAAAAATATGAAAGTTAATATATTTCTTGAAACGTCTAGATTAAGAAAAGTTTCTAAATGTGTGGTTTTTTTTTTTTTTTTCCTATGTAGTTTTCATATCGCTGTTTGTGTTTTATCTATTTCTTTATTAAGTATTAGTGTCATTTCATTTTTATTTGTTATCTATATTTATCATATATAATATTATACTAATCATCATTTTGTCATCTTTGATCGGACACTCAAATTGTATATATAAATATAAAATAATTATTTCTAAAGTATTAATCAGTTGATTAGTTTTTTTTTTTCCCAAAACTATAAGAGATATTATAAATCAAAACGCACGAATGTGCGAATACACAGCAGCCAACAGCTGAAAAAGCGGAAGAACACGTCAGAACACCGTCTAGAGTCCCACTAGCAACGCTAGAATAAAATACTCGCAACAGACTAACCAATTACAAACTACAACACACAAACTAAACTAAAACAAACTAAAAAGACCCCAACAGGGTAATACCCGAGTGTCGGATCACATCGGGATAATAAGGTGACACTCCGGTTCACAGAGGCCAAACGCCCAGAACAAAAAAACAGAGAACAACACTGATAACTGAAAAACATACCAAATACTAAAACAAAAAAGAAAGAAAACACAGCCTCCCCCGCCCAATACATCTATATAAAAGGTAGACAACCAACTCCACAGACAGCTCCAAAGCACGGAAATAACCGCTCGCCACTGCAGAAGGCCTAGCAAGACGGAACCCGCACCTCAGGACCAACCGGAGAGCTGGCCCGCACTCCAATCACGAAAGGCAGCAATTACGCCTCAACCCAGCCCGAGACGCCTTGCATATATAAAATGAACTTAAATTTATTATTTAATATTATTTTAAAAATAAGAAATTTGTCTGAAACTATTAATATACATATACAATAAAACTTATTTAGTTTGGAATAATGTGAAATAGTGATTTATATATTTATCCCTCATGGGTGTAAAAAGCTAGTGCTAAAAAACATAAAGTTATAAGTAAAAAATTATTTCGATGATCTGATATATGCGGTATTAAATGATAAACCAACATGTCATTTACTTATTTGTTAAATTTTCATGTAAATTATGAGATTATAAAGAATCAAATTTTTTATCATATGTATTATTATAAATTATAATAAAACAACGAGCCATTTGTCGAAATGCCATGTAAATTATAAGCTTAAAAAGATAAATTAAAGTTTTATAATATATGTTGCTATAAATTATGATAACAAATTAACTAGCATGTCATTTGTCCAACTATCCATATAAATTATTAACTTAGAAAGAGAGAACAAAATATTTAAATATATATTGTTATAAATTATAATAATAAATCTACGAGTTATGTGTTGAACAACGGTGCAAAATATAAATTATTATCTCAAAAAAATAAAAAAATTATAATATATATTGTTATAATTTATCTTAATAAATAATGGATATCGAACTGTCATATGAATTATTAGATTAACAAAATAAATAAAATATTTATAATACATGTTATTATAAATTATAATAAATTAAATAATTTTTATGTGATTAAAAATTAGTAAGTTTATAACTTTAGAGTTATACACGCTACATTCATTTCAAATTTAATGTCATTTTATATTATTTGTCACAATTTTTCAACTTTACCATCAATTATCAAAATAATATGTTGTAATAATGTATAGGTAAGGAAAGATAAAAAGAAAGGGTTTATTGCACGAAATCCCCCTGTATTGATAATGTCAGAATATGTAAAGTTTCATCTTTCTTAATTATAAGCTAAACATCTAAAACGATAGTTATTTTTATAACGGGACAAATACACATTTTAAACTATTACTTAAAAAAAAAACTATTACTTATCATAAAAATTCAAGGAAATATAAAATTTAATATTCAAATTTATTTTATACTCATTGATATTCATTCCCACTGTTTTAATTCTTGCTACTGGGCTTGGACTACCTTAGCGCGCTCGGTTTTATCCACTATACCAGTCTACTTTATGCAAATAGCGTGGTTTCCGGAGAAAATTTGCCGGCAAATTGACAGCATCATGAAGCGATTCATTTGGAAGGACCGCGATGGACGGGGTCTTCACCTCGTCAATTGGCAAACTGTGGCCACGCCTCGCCGCTCGGGAGGCCTTGGCCTGCGTCAAACACGGCAAATGAATATAGCTATGCTTGGGAAAAAAGTTAGCGAATACATTGAAGGCGCTTCGTCGCTCTGGGTTGAGGTTTTGTCTGACCAATTTGGCAAGGGATACGAGGGGATTAAAGGTCTAAGATCCAGTCTTCTTCCGTCTGGACAGCAATGAGGCGGTGCTTTTCCATCATTGAGACTGGGTTCACTTACAGGTTGGGTAATGGGGAGACCAATTTCTGGGAAGGAATTCATTTTCAAAGCAAACCCATCAAATGCCTGGTGGACTATGTGCATATTGCTGACTCTGACAAATCTTGTCGTCAGATGATCGTTAACAGGAGGTTTGATATCCAGTAGTTGCACACGATCTTCCCACCTCATATTTCTAAGGCGCTGAAGGATGCCCGGAATATTTATCTTCACCCATCAGTGCCAGACAAATGGTGCTGGTCTGTCGGTAGTAAAGGGAAATATTCAGTGGCGTCTTGCTATGAGTGGTTGCTTAATCAGGGTACTAACACGAAGACGTCGTGGAAAAAGATTTGGAGGCCTGACGTTCCAGAAAAAATTAATTTCTTCTGTTGGCTTCTTGGGAAGCGTTTGATTCCTACTAAGGATCTTCGTCACCGGCGGCATCTAGAAACAACGGGTGTTTGCACGATTTGCGGGGATGGAACGGAGACCTGGGTGCACATGTTCTTCGAGTGCCCGTGGACTACGCAGGTTTGGGCCAGGTTAGTTCGTTGTGGTTTTCCCTATTGGCTGGCCCACACGATACCACGTGAGAGTCATGGTCTGGAGTTCATCGTTAATGCGCCGGTGGGTATGCGATTTGCACTTTGGTTTATATGGCTGGAACGTAATAACAGGGTGTTCGGGAATCCTCCTAATTCTCCCTTTGCTGTAGTTAAG